GTTATGTTATGTTATGTTATGTTATGTTATGTTATGTTATGTTATGTTGTGTTGTGTTGTGTTGTGTTGTGTTGTGTTGTGTTGTGTTGTGTTGTGTTGTGTTGTGTTGTGTTGTGTTGTGTTGTGTTGTGTTGTGTTGTGTTGCGTTGTGTTCCGTCGTGTTGTGTTGTGTCGTGTTGTGTTGCGTTGTGTTGTGTTGTGTTGTGTTGTGTTCCGTTGTGTTGTGTTGTGTTGTGTTGTGTTGTGTTGTGTTGTGTTGTGTTGTGTTGTGTTGTGTTGTGTTGTGTTGCGTTGTGTTCCGTCGTGTTGTGTTGTGTCGTGTTGTGTTGTGTTGCGTTGTGGACGCCTTACTTTGAAAGGGATAACGAGAGAAAGCCATTCTTTACGGTGATAGGCGGCATATTTAATCCTTGCACATGTTTGACGAGGTTATGAACAAGAACCTTGTTTACTGAAATGAAAAGATATATTATGATTACTGTCAGATCATTATTTATTGTCAGTAATAATCATAATAAAACGAGTTTTAAATGTACAATCACGACATGTAACAGGGATATATAGGCTTTGGATATATGTGGCATCTGTCTGTCAAAACGTGAGGTTACAAATTAAATATTAATCATAGATGTTAATGTACTCTTCCTCCACGAGTCATGAAGGTGGCCGAAAGGTTGAGAGGACTGGACTAAGATAAATGATAACTCATTTACATTTTTTTATATTCAGTCACTTTCATGCCCTCTGGCGACCATAATCCTTAGCGTTAAAACAATAGAATGTTTTGATGTGACACTGTAATGGACTAGGACTCATTACTACAGCAACTGTATTTCAGGATCGGAATGCCTTGTTTTCGGATTGAAATCTTTGCATGTAAGTGATTTTAATTTAAAGTGTAGTTGGTTAACTATAAATTTCACAAGTTTCGAAATGGACGAAATGGTGATAAACTGAACAATGAGCTGCTCACAAGGTACACATATCATATGTATAACAATTATTCTATAAGCTAATAAGAGCATACGCCAAATGTTTTAATGTTTAGTAATATAAAGAACAAATTAATGAGTTAAATAGATTATAATATAAAAAGAACTACAGTACAAGTTACAAAATATATTTGAATTTTTACACTATATATTTGAATTCTAACACTATGGATTTTTACACTATATACTTGAATTTTTACGGCACTATATATTTGAATTTTTACATATATATGATATCAAAGAGGCAAGATTTTGCTGTAACTCCGAGTTTCGTGCTACATATATATTTGAATTGTAACAAAGGTTACGCTGTTTGAATGTGAGTAATATAAAGCGGATCCTAAATATGTTTTTATAAATATATTTTTAGGCATGTTTCCCAATTGGTAAAAACCTAGGATTTTGGAGACTTTGATCATCATGAGTCCATTATTCCCGTTTATAACTTAAACTAATTGCTTGATTTCTCGATTCGGAATTTTGTGCCATATATACCTAATTACAAAAATCGACTGCCTAAYTGACATTTAGTTCTAGAACTAAACGTCAGGCAGTCGAAAAACGTCAAAGTGCAGCGTGTTTGTGTATACAAACTTGTCGAACAGTATTATTTTGTTGCTTTTCTCTTGCTGTATTAA